TTGGGCTGCACCTGGGAGCAGTAGGGGTGACTCACCCTCTTCCCTAAATTATACCACTAYGAGGGGCATGCATCAGACATTAGCAATCTCCCAGTTATTCCAGAAGTTAGTGCGCTGTGCCAACTCATTAGTTCCTAAATAGCTCCAGTGTCAGTGCTGAGTGGTGACTTAACTGACTGCTGACATTCACTACAAGGTCACTAAGCTCAGTCTATACTTAGGAACACTTTGGTGCTGTAAATGACATGGAATTGATTTAATCTACACGATGCCTTTGTCTCTGATGATCCTTCCTATCACGGGTCTGACCAATGTGGACAACGAAGGTAGAAGACATAATTAATATTCAGTTCACTAACTAAAACCTGGAGAGGAGTCTCAGTAAAGCGAACATTGTAGACAACACCAGTAAAGAATCAAATAGCAGCTGAAAATGTGACCATTCCTGCATTTTTTTTCTAAGGAATCTAGTGTGCCTCTACTGATGACTGCAGCAAATGTGCAGCATTTCTCACTGCAGAGAGCTCTCCTTGATTTGCACAGCTCTCTCTACAGTCCACATACTGCAAATGGATTCTTCCCTCTCAGTGCTCACTGAAGTGGATCTCCCTGAAAAGGCCCAGTGCCTACGGCCAGATGACAAAGACACATACAGCTCCATGTGGCAGCCTCCAGCTTTCAGCATCTTCATAAACTCCCAAATTCAAAAGGTAATTCTCATCCCCCTACCCCTACAGCTGTTAGCACATCAGCAAGTAATTGGTGCCAAGCTACAAGAACCTCTTTGTTCTCCTCTGCCCACCACACCAAAGGGCCATGATTGGCTCCAGCTGGCCCTCATTGATAGTCTATCAAAAATATCAAAAGAATAATTATCCTCAGCTGACCTGCAGATGTTGCTACCAGACACCCTACAACAATAAAGATAAATATCTCAGCTGTCATTTAAGGGGAAATGGCATATGGTTCTTCAAGTCTGATGATTCAGACATAATAATCTCCCAGCAATTATGAAGACAGAGGCAAAGAAAGAAAATTGAAAGGAGATAAACTCTCTATTACCTTCCATTTTGCCCCCAAAGCTGTCTTCATCTGTGTCTGAGAAAAGCAAAGGAACCAATCACTATTTGTTACGAGCAAGGCAGCACARGATTGGCAAGTGTGTCTGCACATATGTGCATACTGTTGAAGCCAAGGGCAGCAAAAAGGCATTGAAGTGTCCGTTAGTTCTATATTTCTCTTTATTTTCTTGGCTGAGGTYTGGTACACCTTTAATGTGGCTTGAAGCAAGCCATGTGGGAGCCATGTATCTCCTGCAGTGCTGGAATGGGTTGGCTCAGGCACACCAGCTTCCTGCACCTCTGTACCTGCACTATCATATGGGGTGGGACTTGAATTCAGCACAGATGTGAGCACAGCCCTCTCCACACTGCTGCCATCCAGGATTTCTTTATCATTTTCCAGCTCAAAAAGCAGTGAATGGTGGGTTTTGGGTTGGTTTTTTTTTTTTATTCTACCTGCACTCTTCTTCAGTCAGCAATACACTCCAAGCTCATGCAGTCTGTGTTGTGACAGAGAAGGAGAGCTGGCCAGGCTTTCACAATCCCAAGTGTATGGGGGTTTATTTGACAAGCTCCAAATATGAGGTTTCACCCTTAAAAATCATAACAATTGCATGGTAGCTATTCCTCTGATAGAGGTAGCTGCAGTAAGTTTGTGAGGAGTAACTGCAGGACTCTGTYGTTACTCACTTCATTAAGTCTTAATTGTAACGATTCAAGGTGCAACCCCAGAACCATAATCAGATCCTGAGGTGACAGAGGCACAGATAATTGTAATGAGCCTTCCTCTGAAATGAAAGGCCTGCAGTTTTCTCCCCAGATGCTAATGGCACAAAGCAGAGTCAGAAAATGCTGTCAGCAGGAACCAGGAGAGGCTGGGGATCCAAGCAGACCCCTGGGCTTCAGAGTTTGCAAACAAATAGCAGGCAGATGCCATTAACCAGAGTTGCTGATTTAACTTCTCTTTCCTCTGTCTATTTCTAGCTTCCTCTCAGAAGCATCCCAAGGAAACCTACACCATCCTGGCCCCATGGGTACTTTGTTTTCCTTAAATCCCTGGCAAAACTTTTTTCCATACTGGCAAGACCAAAAAGAAAGAAACGGAAGAGAGAGATTAATCCAAATGCAGCTCTCTCCTTCTACCTGCCAGCCGGGGCTCTATCCACATTGACCCCAYCAGCACTGGGTGCTGAGTACTTTCTTGACACCCTGGCCTTCCATTCATGGGACTAAAATGAAGAATTAACTGTCAGGRCACACCTGCAACTAGAGGATGAGTCAGCCCCAAGGGGCTGCTGAGTCAGAAGAATTGAAAGCCACTGAAGTTGGAAAATGAGCATTCTTGTACAATCCAGTGCTAATGTCCAAGCAGGAAATAGAAATGAACTTTGGAATAGAAGTCAACAATTACAAATGAATAAAAATGGGAGCAATGCTACCAGAAGCCCTTCATTCTGGTGATGTCATGGTTCCCAAATGCCCTTCAGAAATGCAAATTGCYTACAATGTAATAAAAAGGGCATTTTCTAGAGTGTGCAGAGCTTGCATAGTTTAATTAAGCATAAACTAGGGTGACTCTTGAAAGGAAAATGATGTGGATTGCATTCTCTGAGTGACCTTGGAAAGGCACTTACAACTTTCTCTACATGGCAATTAAGTAAACTCACACTTCATATGCTGTCACTCCTATTCTTTTCCTTTATTTAGAAAGATATTTTTTGTTCCCTCAGATTCCCTGATCTCACACTGATTTATCTTTGTGCTTAGAAGACGTGATTTGTTTCCCTCAAGGTAACTAAGCATTTGTCTACAGTCTCACCATCTCTAGTTCTCTAATCTCTACTTCAATATTACTTATATTAAAATTCTGGCATGTGCTTTCCTTGCTTTCCCCAAATTCTACCTAGGCTGCCTCACAGACATGGCAAAACTGCAATGAATGTGACCAGCAGGCTGAGGGAGGKGATTCTGTCTCACCACTCTCCTCCAGTGAGACCCCACCAGCTATGCAGTTCCCACCAGAGCAAAAACATTGACCTGTTGGAGTGAATCCAAAGGAGGGCCWCAAAAATRGTCACAGGGCTGGAGCCCTTCTCCTACAAAGACAGTGAGAGAGATGGTGGTGTTCAGCCTGGAGAAGAGAAGGCTGTGGGGAGATCTCATTGTGTCCTTTCAGTACTTAAARGAGGYCTGTGAGAAAGATGRGGACAGACTTTTTGGTAGGGCCTGTAGCAACAGGAGAAGGGATAATGGTCTTAAGCTAAAAGAGAATAAATTCAGAGTAGATGGAAGAAAATTTTGAAGATAAGGGTGGGGTAACACTGGAACAGATTGTSCAGAGAGGTGATAGATGCCCCATCCTTGGAAACATTCAAGGTCAGGTTGGACAGGGCTCTGAGCAGCTTGATGTGGTTGAAGATGTCCTTTCTCATGGTGGGGATTTTGAATTCCTCATCACACAGTTCTGGGGCAAGAATGGCAATGGCTTATGGGGGTATTGGTACTCAGGGATTTGGTTTTGTAGCTGCTATTTGAACTCTTTCACAGTATGAGTCTCTTATGTGGGGGAGCTAACATTATGTGGCCAGCTGGTTTTATCAGATTCCAAAGGTCCGTTTTGGGGTCCAWTAGATCATCAAACCTCAGTTTCTCAGAAAGGAGGCTGACTGTATGGGGAATGCAAGGGCTGTCAAGTGCCTGGTTTACTAGGAAGCAGAAAAAGAAAYCCAACCAGTGTTAGCAACTCAGCCCCATTTCTTCTGGGATAGGGCATGAGAAAGAAGCCTCAGTAATTCTGGGCTCTGAGCAGTGCTGCCAAGAGGGAGTGGTGGTAGCAACTCATCTCTGGGGGCCAAGAGTGAATGGGGCTGAGGGGATGAGTGGGACTCTTACGGCTGTTCTTACACATCTGCCTTTTGCTTGACTTTTCAATAAGGCCCTGCTCTGTCTTCCCCTTGAAATTTGCAGAGTGACCACCTTGCATTGCTCTTTGGGAATGCTTTTCTCTTGGTATCTTGCTATGACTTTCAAGGAGTAACAGATACTTTCCAAGGAAGATTTGAAGAATGTGGTAATGGGTGGAAAAAAAAAGTTCACCTAGCAAGGGCAAAGAAACCAGGGGAGGGTAGGTGGGGAAACAGTGCTGATTTGCAACTGATGTTTGAGCTATGATGGAGTTTCAGTGAACCACACCACAAGGGCTGCTGACTCATAAAAAGGTGGAATACCCAAAAGGAAAGCAATGATCCCAGCAATTGCATCCCATTATGGTATGTCAGACATRTCTTTGATTGCACAAGCCTATAATTAGTTACAGAGTTATTAGTGCCRTTTCTGAGGAGCTAACAGAAAACAGAAGAATTATTCCCTGTGTTAGTGACTTGCAGGATCAGAGAATAACGCTCAAGGATTGCTTTAAATAGAATGYATTCACTGCTGATAGATTTATTATTTCAATTTCAGAGTAAATGTCAATGATTCTGTAAAACTTAACAAACTTAAGCGATCCCAGAGCAAAGATCTGAAAGTCTTGGGATTAATTTTAGGGCTTGGTTCCTATTCACTCAGCATGTAAGAAATCCACCTAAGTATCTCAAGTATTAAAAAAAAAATATTTTAAAACTAAGATCTCGTGATTTTGTGGTAAAGGAGCTCCTGTGCGAAGCTCGCAGCAATMGCTGCTTTACATGCTTGCTGACACTAGATGGGGTGTAAGGAAAGAGTGAAGGGGAAAATCAGGGAACAGCAAAACCTTGGCGGTCTGAACTATCTCATGTACAGAAGGATTTAACTAATCTGAGCACAGCTTCCTCCAACTTAYCAAAAGGCAAACCCGATCATAAATAAAACAGGGACCCATTTGCCTACYCTGTCCAGTGTGGATCCTCCCAACGAGGATATTTTAACACACATAATGCACCACTGTTAGTCACATTAACTACATTTTATTCATATATTGAAAGAGTACATMCACATGTCAGTAGCATAGATTGCATCAGCTCCTCTTTACTAAAAAAAGCTCAATATATTTACAACTTAAAATGCTCCTGCTGTAGCTAGTGCATATTAAATTGATGCTTATATAAACTAATGTTCTTTACATMGATTTATGTATTTCAGAATACATTAAAAATTATTGGTGGCATGTTCTGTTATCCTTTTTCACTGTCCTGATGGTCTAACATTTGCAATGAATTATGGATATGCATATTTTATTTACTATTCAAAACAATTTCTATTACAGAATATAGGCCATGGAGACAAACCCATGGTTGCATTTGGAAAGGCAGAAAGTATTTTCAATGATTAGTGATTTCTGGTTTTCTTCCTCCTTTTCCTTGGAAGCAGCAAGAGCAGAACAAGGCTCTTTTTGAGATCCTGCCTTTGTTTGAATCTGAGAAAAGTACCATAACCTTTTCCAAACCAACAGGTGCTTTTTGCCCTCCCWCTTAGCTGCTTTGACCTCCTGTTGCATGAACTCAGCACAACAGGCAGCCCAGTGTCCAACTCCAGGCTCTTCCTGAAGATGGGAGGGGTGCTGAGCTGGGCTTTCTGGCCAACCAACACAGGTACTCAGCAGAAGCAGCAGCCTGCCTGCAGAATTCATTTCCCTCACTCTCTTCTTTGTGTCCCATGTGAAGCTAGGCAAGCTAGACTCCTGTGGATCACTTTATCCTCTTTATTAAGCCTATCTCTGCAGAGACCATTTTAATTTAATTCAGCTTGATAGCCAAGTCTCAAAATCTCCGTGGCTCTTGAAACAGTACARTCTGCTGGTATTCAATATACAAGCCTTTTTCCAGCATCCTCTTGCWTCCCCCTTCAAGGATCCAATTTCTCTAAACTAGCTTTTCACTCAGGCTGATGCCCCTTCCTGAGTGACCAGTACTCACAGCTAAGCCCTAAAAGAAAACACTGAGAACATGCCATCCTCATCAGAATATGTAACTCTAGTTAAACTTGCATGCTTGGCAGAAAAGGAATACAAAAKGTTTTCCCTCAACATAGGTTAAATAAACATTGCTTGCCAGCMATACCCACTTTAAAAAGTAAACTGGTAACATGGTAAGAAATTGCATTCACTGGCAGATATGAATCTCTTTGTTTTGTCAGATTTGTTAGCTTAATCCTAGGAGAGGTATTGCTAAATGCTACTGCAGAGCATTGGTTTGCATCTACTGCTCTTGACAAAACCCCTGGGACTGACATGGCATTGGGATTCGGAGGGCAAYGCTCAATACTTCAGAGGGTGGGATGGGCCAGGTTGCCAGTGCAGCTAAAAAAAAAMAAAAACCTGGGTTAAACACCTCTGTAGGAAAACACCCCCTAACATATTATTTAAAATCAGAATGAGTCATGCCTCTGACAGGCCAGTAATAGCTTCATTTCATAGCAGAGAGACAAAAATTGGGGAAGACTGTGACGTGCCAGGTCACTGGTCGGTTATGACTCCTCACAGGAGCCCTTGTACATAATCCTCTTCAGCAGCACACTTCACRCCTTGGATATCAGAAAGCCTATGAGAACATCTCTGTTTGTGATCATAGGCCATGTTTCACATGTCCGGGGAAAACAACGTGAAACTCACTCAGCAAGATGGAGAGATAACCCTACGTATTAAGGAATAAAGGACAATTTCCTTTGCTCCTCCTGCTTTATGCAAAGCCTCCCTATTATCCAAGGCAGCAGTGCAGCAGCAAGACATGATAAAACAACCTAGTAGGCTAAGTGATATGAAAACTTAAATAAATATGTTTTGTAAGTGAACAACAAGAGCTCTGATGCACAATTTTGATGGGTAAGGGTGGCAAAGGGCCTTTCAGAACAGTCCCTTGCTGTTCATGGCACCATGCAGACCTCTGGTATTTTCTATGTTAACTTGTTAACATCTCACATTCCTGAAGTGATACACTCTTCTTTTCTGGGCTACCCAGTTACTGTGGGCTGGGCCACTTGTTATGCACAATTTTTTTGCTGAAAAGAACCAATAATGGAAGAAAAACGGCTATAGATTTTGACTCTATCTTCAGTCTGCAATGAATTGAAATGATGCCTTGGATTAACGATGAACAGAAAGACAGATGTTGAAGGAAGAACTCAGTGTATTCTGCAATGTTCCTGTTTGCTTTTGTAATTCATCAGCAACCATGAACTACTGGGTTTAATATTAAAACTTTCATTAGTAAAGCATTAGGAGTCAAGATAATTTTTAMGCTTTATGTGGCTTACTCTTCACTTTCTTTATGAGATGTTCAACTCAAGGTAGTTTTCTGGAAAAAAATTAAATCATTCTCTTAGATGACAACATTAATCCTAATGCACTGCACTCCTCTTTGGATGACTGCAGATTGCAAAGTGTCTTTGAAAAAGGATAATATGGACATGTCATGCAGTAACCATGTAAATGCAGTCCCTGATTAATATGCAAGATTGAAAAGTTCAGAAAATGTCATCATACTCCATAGGTACACCCTGGTTTTGGAAAGGTCTCTTTTTGTTTGTGTATAAATGTCATTCTACATAAATTTYACTCCAGCAGCTTTTCATAAACTCAAGTCAATGATGATATGTTCAAATATTTGAGTGTTTCCTTTAAAACTAGAGGCAAAGAAAAAATCTCTTCGATCTGTTGACACAGCTGTGAAAGACCGTGGTGCTTGCACGTAGATTTCTTTAAATAATCTGAATATCTTCTTTTCACCATCCCACTGGTAAATCTGGGAGAAGGTATAGTCACTTCCCAAGGCTAGGTAGTAATTATTCTTGAAGGAGAAAGGCTGCAGTGTCATGGCTCCTCGGGATGGAAGAGCCTGTATCTCCACAAACTGTTTGCTATTCCACTTCATAACTCTGGAGTCACCAATGAATCTCGTGAGTGTGATGTATAGGTCATCTTGCATCCTGAAACTCTTCACAGCCAAGACATCTTCCATGTTGGGGATTTCACCRTGTGGGACAAATTTTTTGGAGGCTTTGTTCCACTGAAGTATAATGGGCACCTGGGAACGGCTAGAGAGGATTAAATGTGATTTCCCATCTATATCAAGAAACTCAGCATCAGTGTCCCTGAACCACTCATGAAGGGACTGATAGGAATAAAATCCTTTGTTATTCCACTTATACACTGTTGACAAACCTGCTTTGGAGCTATCTGCTATGACAAAAAACATTTCACTGTCTATCTCAAAKAGCTCTATATCATTTGGCTTGGAAATACGAGATTCTTCAATATCCTGGAATTTGACAAACTTCGTCCAGCTTTCGTCAAACTTGTAAATGTGTGATCCACCAAAGAGCTGTGCCACCACCACAAAGACTTGGTCACCAACAAGAATGGCTTTACATCCCACTATAGACTGACCTATTGCCCAAAGGAAATAAAAAAAACAAATACACATGTATTAGCACAGCACAAAGCACCCTTTTAAAACCATAGACACTACCAAATCACTCCTCCCCTTTTYTAAACCTGCACCATCTCATAATTTTGTGTTCTGCTACATGCCATTGGTGTCTTTCCAAGACACTTTCTTGCTTCCCAATAACTGCAGAGATGACTTATCCCACCCTTCAAGGCGTGCAATTATGATGTACCATAAAATCYAATTCCTTTTTATGTAAAATACTTTTAATTTCTCTGTTTATTCAAACAGAGGGCCCCTAATATCCAAAACAATTATTTAAGCTACATTTTATTAYTTAAAAATGACAAGAGATTTTATTTTTCTGTTCATCAGACATCTGATATTCTCTTATTCTTGTAATTTCTATCCTTCCTTCTTAACTAGAAGAATGAAATATACTATCTTTTTCTTGCTCCAAAAGGGTTAGAGTCAGCTTTTTGCTACTGAACATAGAGATACTGATGCATCTTGTGGATATGTCATCTGACAGCASGATGAAAAAGATAAATCTATCTCTGTTGGTTTTGATAGCTATTCTTGAGATTTTGTTAAACTAGAAATATTTAGGAATATTGCAGTTGCCAGATAGATCAGATCATGTTATGGTAAGTTTTGTGAATGTCAAAKTACACTATACAAGAAGCACATCGAAAAGTAACAACCCAACAATTACAGTAGGTTTTGYTGGAAGCAGAGAGAATTCCTTTGTGAAGCACCCAGCTTAAGCAGAACTACAGCTGCACAAGATTCCCAATGCATGTTTGAAYAGTCACTGCAGGACATTTGCCCTGGCTCCTTTGCTGGTCCCCTACCCACAGCTTTCAGAGCTGGCTGGGATGATCTTCCACACTCCCAGGGCAGCAGAGCTGGGAGTACCTCAAGTACACCAAAATATCTGCAGCACAGGCATGAATGCTTCCTCCTCCAGGCTCCCTCTAATACAACTTATTCAAAACCCACTCTACAAGAGCTTTCACAAGTCTCCTGTCTCCTTCTACAGAGGACAGCAATGCTTTTCTCTGCATGTTCACTGTTGAGGCAACCTTAACAACTAGCTCAGCTCCATAACGTTTAAAGGGCTAAATTCAGGTATCCAAATGCCAAGCATACAGTAAGTAGTGAAATTCCCTGTGGAGCTGGCTCCAGAGCTCTACAAAACACTCTTCAGGCTCTGCAGGAGGTGATTTGTGTGCTGTGTCCCCTGGCAAAAACCTCAGGTTCATGTACATTTCAGAGTCCAGAGCTCAAGCTTGGAACTTCCAGGAGCAAACTCTGGGTGTGGAGCTAGCACACARATCCCTGGCAGAAAYGTCTCCTGGTCAGGTYATTCAGAAGAAGGTGGAATACACCTGGAAGGCAGCTGCCTTTGCAAAAGGCTCAAACTCTCAATTTCATTTCCAGAGTTTTTCTAGGGCCCAGCTATCTCTCACTGGGCTGGTGACTTTTCAGTTCAAATATTTTGAACTAATTGTACATATTTTACCTTAATCTGCAAAACACAAACCTAAAAAAGGAATATTTTGAATTTCCAAAATTTTCTGGTAGCTTCTTGTAAACTATTGTTAGTGACACACACAGCTGATCTGAGGAGGTAGGTGCTCTCTGCCTTAGTAGAATTCAACACCAGATGAGGATGCAGCATACTCTGTCTCTCCCAAAATGTAAGGTAAAAATTACCATACACAACAAGGAACAGGAAAAACGGAAAGATGCTCCAGGGATAAATTTTGCTCCTGCGTCTTCAAAATCCCTGGCTTGGATTATCTGGGAAATCASGCAGTGGGTAAGAGCTCTAAAGCCTCTGCTGTCATGGTGTGACTCAGCACCACAGGTGTTGGTTAGGGACAGACCCRTGGTTAGAAAACCAGCATTAGAACATAACCTGGCATCCACACAGGTTTTTTGTTTGATCAGTAATCTGGCCAAGATGTTAATTGAGCATGTTTGTAAATTATAAGCAAATGAGGAAGCTGAGATACAGCACATCTCTTTAGGTAATGATCATAGTTTAAATACTTCTGTTGTTTTAAATAGGYTTCCTGGTCAGTTCATCCAAAAAGCTTCCTTCAGATTTGTTTCCTTCTACATGCAATAGATTATTTTAGTATTATGTTTTGCAGGCACTTTGGCAAGATCAAGTACTCCTTCTGCTTCTGCTTTAACTTGCTTTAAGTTGTGTGATTGAGGCAGTGAGGGCCAAGCTGGGCTATGGTGTGATATTCACAGCAAGTGTTTGTGCCTTCAGAACCATTTACAAGATTGGACAAAAAAAAAGCCTAGTTTATGTGCACAACAGCAAGGTTAAATGTGCATATATTAACAAGATGCACTACTCCATGGAGTCACTCATGTCCAAACACCTCTCACTCTGATCAGCCAAATTCAACAGAGATTCAGGACAAAACCAAAAAAACTTTTCCMATCTACAAATCTAATCCTTGTGAAATGCCAACAGTTCATCAGTGACTGAAATCCCAGTGTCCATTTACCTGTGATATTGTCATAACTCCTGAAATTCATTTCAATGTGATCCCACTCCAGCACCATACAGTTCTCCATGCTGGGCTGTGCAATGGCTACAAACACATCATTCTTTGAGTTGAATGTATCCACTGAAACGGACTGGTAGGGCAAAATCTGGTGGACAACAAAATCTAGAAACATACATTTACAACAGTTAGGATACACCCTTGCTGGAAACACAGAGTAAGTGGTCGCTGATTAGGATGATTTGCACTGGAAAATGAGTGAAATACTCTGGATTTAGTATAACGCTATCATGGCAGTGTCAGTGCTCACGTTAAGCATGCAGCAACAGGGAAAGTGTCTCCTGCTTTAGATATCATGAACTGTCCTCTGGAAATGCATTTGTCAAGGAGATCAAATATGTAAACAGTGAAATAATTCAGATTTTCCAGCTAGGCTGGCTACTATCAGTGAAATAGAGAAGTTTCTTTCCCCACAGCTGGAAGTTGCTTTCCTGTCAAGTGAAATGGCCTTGCTAGAATCACATTCAAGCTGAGAGACAGCAACTACCAGCTGAAGTCCAATAACAACTTAAGTCATGCAAATTTAATCACCAGCAATTTGTGTTATGCTAAACCAGGCAGAAAGTGAAATGATATCTGAAGTTTGCCTGGGGATAACCCCATTTTGCCTAGACCATAGACAAAATGATGTAATCAAAAACTCAGTTAACATAATGTTTTATGGGGCATTGTAATGTAGTTTAGGCATAAAATACAACCAACCTGAAAATTACTATCCAGTGGAAAACTTATCCCTAGACAATAAGACTGAGAAATTGGAGCAACCTGTAAAGATTAGGAGCGTAACTCCAAAATTAAATACTTTTTTCCTCAAAAATTAAGTGYCGTTGTAGATTTAATTTTAAAATTCACTCTGGTTTAAATCAGGAGTCAYCACAGAGCCAATCTGGGGCAAAGTGAGGAGACATGAGGAGACCTGGATCTGAACTGGATCTTTGACCAGACAGCTGTGCAAGGTAACTATTAGCAGAAAAAAATCCATGGTGTAGCAGAGCTGACAAAGGGTCTAAAATGTGTCAGGAGGCCTGCATTGAAGTGATGCATGGATCTAGACATGTAGAAAAGGAAAGGCASCTTCTCTGTGGAGGCATTTCTCTGCAGAACCACGCACTGCTCTGTTTTAAGCTCCATTTGCTACACGCCTTCACCATACACTCCTACTCTGGAAGGGCCTGAGCACCCAGGGATTTTGGTGAAATGGTAATTAAGTCCTCACTCGAGTCCCTTATTTTGGTGCATTATGAAATAATTGCTTCTGAATGAAGAACCCTCTGTTTCTGCATGCTTGAAAGCCTTGCCCTTGAGGAGTTACACTTCTGGAGGATAAAGATAGATGACTACCATTAAAYAAACAGAGCAGATTCCACAGCTGTGAAAGAAATGACAGTCTTCATTCTTCGAGGGACTATTATAAATAGAGCTTGGGCTTGGTTCATAAATGCTGGTAGGCAAACAAGAAAGTTATCTTCATTTTCACTGGAAAACTAAAAGGGTTGACATCAAAGTACGCAGAAAGTAAAAGTAACTGACCRATTATGAAAGGTAGCTAAAGGATGGAGCAATAGCAGATACAGTCACACAAAATAAAAATAATTTTAAAAACTTGAGGAAAAAAACCAAAAAATTAATCCTAAAAAGACATCTCTTGAAATCTGAACAGTTGTGAAACACTTTGGGAAATACGTGAATTGAAACAAACCAGTCTGTGTGTAAAAATGGGTAGGAAAATCATTTGTAATCAGTAAAAAGCAATAAACACTTGGTGCTTTTAGCACCAGCTGGGAATGCCAGACTGTAATGTAGGACAGGGCTACCCAGTAAAAAGTTGCTGCCACATTAAGCTTGCCAAAAATTTAGGCCCTGGAGGCTTGATTTAGTTCTACACACCTTGCTTTAATGCTAGAAAGAACTAGTACAGTAAATACAGGACTGGTGGGGAGCCCTTTTCCAATGTTTTCCTCTTTTAAGTTGGATCCCCTGGACGAGAAGGGAAGAGGACACAGCCCACACTTTCCCCTGTGCTGCTGGCTGCATGAGCCATCCCTCTCTCCCTCCCACTCCACASGCAGTTTGGTGCTCCCTGTCTCAGGACACGTGTTTTCCACGCTGTTTTCTGCTGGCTGAGAGTGGGGACGTCCCCCTATCCTCCAGTCACTTATTTCCCCTCTGCCCCCTCTGAGGTTGAACTGGCATCATGGCCTCAAGGGTAAGGGACCCAATACTTCTATTGGGCTGATTTTCCTTCTGGCAGCCCTTGCTCTGGCTGATCCCAATATCCCGTGGAGCACTGATGCTGCCACAGGAAAGGAGGAGAGTGAAGGGAACACTGGAGGACACTGAGGAAAAATGGGACTGGTGATCTGTTTGGGCAGCTGCTCCAAAACTGTATCCTGCAATTCAGTCCCACACTCCTCACACCCCTTTCTTCCCTGGATACTTCTGCTCCAGGTGAGGCTGCTCAGGACCTGGGTGTACCATCCAGGATGTTTAGTTTCCCTTCCTTTCTCCCCCTACAGGACATCTCCAGGACAGGAGCAAGTATGGAGCAGGTACTTATTCATTTTCAAACTACCTCCCTTCCAGACAGCAGGGAAAGAGAGGACCACTCCAGAAGACAACCCCAGCTAGGTAAAGAAAGGGGGAAACAAGCTTCCAAAGCTCAGGGAGATGATCCCTGCCTGCAGGTATGGGCAAAGCAGGTCCCAGGCATGCACAAAGCCTCTTTCCAGTGGCTSTGGGAGCCTGAGGTCTGTTTTCCAGTCTCCTGAAAGTGAGTTACATGCTCCCCTATGGTGCTCACAGCCTCRGCACAACCCCCTCACACTGTTGAGGAAGAAACACAAGAAATGAAGTGAAATGGCTTAACCTGCTTCCCTGATGCTAGCACTGAGAAATGGAAAAGACAGATGCTATCATGAAAAGAGCCAAAAGCACAGGTCACCAAGTGTTAATCACTTTGCTCTGTGAAGAAACAACAGGATCATTTTGTTCTCTGCCTTTTTAAAAAAAATTTGGCGGCACCTCTTTCCATCTCTGCTGTTATCATTGTAGCAGTTCAGCTGATGGAATGAGCTGACTGAGCCAACAAGACACACATTTCACCAAGCAAACTGCTTTGTTACCACATCCTGCATCCAGTCATGCTCCACACAGAATACCAGAGACCAGAAATGGTGGCAAGTCTGATCCCACCTGGCAAAGGAGGGAAATGCTGCACTAAAGACTAACATGACTAAAAGGTTTGCAGAGCCCTGCCCATCACTGACTGGGAAAGGAGAATACACCCATGGGGTACTCTGCTTTATTTCAGAATACAGTATAAGCCTAGGCCTGTGACTAATCAATCCTCAAGGAATTAATATGGGTAATTTACACTCCCTTTGGATCTGGGGGAGGCAGTGGCAGAGAAGGAGAAAGCGGCAGTGGCCTGACACCACAGACCACCAAGGTCATGCACAACAGGGTATGACAGCTGCGTGCTGTGCTGGGGGAACGCTTCTCTGAGGGCATTTGAGCAAATATTCAGCTCAGCAATCCTTGCCCCATGGAACGCCTTCGGTCCCCAAAAACTCTACAGGACATAAAATTCGATTTACGCTTAGTGTAATTTTGCTTACAGCACACAAAGGGACAATGTTGAGGGTGAGTTTTGCCTGTAGCCATTATATAATGTCTAGGTACAAAAAGGTGATGGGRGCAGGTAGGTCAAGATAGGCTTGAGGACCATGTAAGGCTTTCCCTTGTGCACTGTTAGCTCTACAAAATTCTTAAACCAGATTGCAACGAAATAAAGACTGTTTTTACTTTGCACTGCTGCTTCTCACTGATTGGGCAGGCATGGGAATGTAACTTTGGTACTGTTCTAAACTTCACTGCTCTCCTGTGTTTGACACTCTTTTATGCAGCAGATTATTGCACTTTACCTCTGCTGCTCTTCTGACCTAATTTTGAATTCTGAGTTCATTCTCCTTTCCTTCATATATTGCCATTGAAGCACTTTTCATACCTTTTCCTGAAATTTCATTTTACATTACTAGTAATCAACTTTTCTGTTGTCTTTTAATAATAATGACTGACTTGATGACAGATGAGAACTTGCACACCTTTGATATTACTGTCTAGAAAGAAGGCAGAGTGCTGACATCCTATTAAAAAAAAAGATGAAAAACAATACTTGCAGCTGATATTTTCAGTTACATGATGTGACTGCTTTTAAAGATAGGTAACTGCAGCAGTTTGGTCATAAAATATAAGCATAACCACATGCAAATTTTTTTCACCCCCTTCAGCATGCTTTACATTACTTAGAAAAAAAAAATCAAGACCCTAAGCAAGACAGTATTCAGAGTATTATTGGACTTTTCAACTTAATGGAGTTCCATGAACAACTGCTGGCACAATTGCCACCACATTTGATGCTAATAAATCATGATTTATGAAAATAAAGATAACAGATATAGCCACATTTTTGAACTTATTTTCATTGCTTTCTGTGAAATACAGAGATTTTGGGAAGCCCATCTGCCATAACTAGATGGCTTTATTCCAGACAATAGAAAGCATTCTGTGATGAATATTAAGCCACAAATTGAGTCATAATCAAGTCTTTTGGAATATGAATAGTCAGAGCTCTTCTCCCATTATCACTKAATCCAAATAAAAACTCAGTACTTACTTTGGCTTCAAAATGTAATTTTTCCATTTTGTACTTTTTCTAGTACTTGGAAGTGCTTTGTATGTAACCCTTTCCTCCCCCCAGGTCATGCTCATAGAAGTGAAAGGGAATCATCTAAACTTCTGATATTTAACCATTTGTAGTGTGCTTAGAAATATACATTCTGAATACCTGTAGTGATGCATTCATTATCAAAACTTGTCACATCATTTAACTTCTTATCCTGATATTCTGCTGGACCAATACACAGGACATCAGAAACAGTGGAATTTGTCATCTTTAACCACAAAAACAACCACTTGGCTTTGCAGTCACACTCAAATTTATTTCCCCTTAAATCTCTAAAAAAACACACAGAAATAAACATATTTGAAAAGGTTGATAGCAATATGAGTACTACAGAACTGTTATCACCTTGACATGCTGAATTTCAAAATATCTGATTATCCTTGAATTGTTCTGAACTGATAACAGGGAAGTTTCTTAAGTTTTATTCGGACTCCTTTATTATGAACTCTCACCAAATTTTTTGGAAAACTGTTGCAGTCTCAGGTCATATATAATCATAGTGATAGAGCACTGTGATTCATGTGTAAAGTTACTTTTTTTGTAAGTTTCCATAGGATGAGGTCTGTAATGTAATACATCCTGACACTCGGGTTGAAAGCTGCAAGCCTCCTTGGCACCATTTACTGCTGATAAATCCCATTTCTTCACTGAACTGTTCCAGTAGCGCTGCTTGACAGAGCAGCCTTGCAGGTGTAAAATACATATCTAAGACTTGTATTTTTAGAGTAGCTGCTGATGTAGAGTCAATTTAACTTCTTCCTACTAATGTATGTGCATTTTCAGCACTGTACTTATTCCTTGATCCTTTGGCAATTTCTGTGGCTTCTGAATTTACTTGGCTGTTTGGAAGAGCCAGACCAAAAAAGGGGAATCCTAGGAATACTGACAGAACGTCAGCAATGTGCTAAATGGCACAAAAACAAGGGGGAAAAGAGCTTATTTTTTAAAATTTCCCTTTTACTAAAATAATCTCAGGAAATCCATGCAACAATARCAGGGAAAAATGTTCAGAGGAACTGTAGTTTTAAAATTCATTGTCTCCCTTTCCCTAAAACACAATTTACACGAGACATCAGAAAGAAATACAAAAACACAAGCTATGCACAGCACCTCGAGAAGCAACAGTGATTTAAGAAACAGCAGTTACTTTAGAGGAATCTATCAAGCAAACAATTACAAAATTAAGAGCGAGAACAAAAGAATTACACTTTTTTTTTTCTGTGTAGATACCAGATACAGCACCACATACCCAAAACCTAAAACTGAGAGGAAGAGTGACAGAAGCAGGCGGCCAATAGAAAGATTCTCATTTTACTTACAGTTCAATTAAAGAATCTAAATCGTTGAAGACATCCCTTGGCAGAGCTTTGAGATGGTTATTGGCCAAAGAACTAGAAAAGAAAGTTAGAGCTTAATATCATTGCTATCTCTTATCTTGCACTTCTTACCAAGTCTGAGCTCACTCCCAGGTTGTTAATTATCTGGTGCTGTCCAGCCACTGGCACTGTTAGCAGTTACCAGGAACATGCATTAATTATTCTCATTCAAGAATAGAGACTGCTTGAAGTTCACATAAAAGTAAAATATTTAAAGCTTTTTTTTGGCCCAGGTGCTAATGTAACCCACAGAACAAGCACCGAGCACACTGAAAAGAAGCAGRAATGTTAATCTCGAGCAGGCAGTGTGGGGGTGGCAGCACCAGTGCAGCACTGGGGGCACCAGTGTGATCCCAGCCCGAGCTGTGCCTGCACACAGGGAGCCCAAAGTGTGGCAGTGCTGCCCGGGCAGGAATTGCTCTGAGGGTGGTTTTTAATTTATAGATGGCTGTTAACAGCAGAAGGAAGCTGTCACATAGAGGGAAGAGAGGTTTTCTGTGTAGCAGGAAAACAAGTYGTCTTCCAGAAGAGTTTTGTTAGAGTAGAAATTACCAAGTGTTAAATAACTTACAGGTGAGTCAGGTCACGAAGGCCACGAAATGCATTTCTTGAAATGGTTTCAATTTTGTTTCCTTCAATAAATCTAGGGAAAAAAAGAAGTATTTTAAAATACTTTAAGTAACATTATTATTAGTATCACAGTGCTTTAAGCTATGGTTGCCAGATTCAGCATGTTTCTGGGCAGCTCCTTCAGGCTGAAAAGTAGGAAGTGTCAGTGGAGCTGCTCACATCCCCTTTTTCCCTTTCCTTGGGTGGACTGCAAGGAACAATGCAAGCACCTGGCAGCACAAGGGACAGCAAATGACACAAATGCCCAGCAGAAAAGGAACAAAGTGAACAAAGCAAAAAAAAATTACTCATCTCTTGGTAATCCCCTCAGTATGTGTTGTGTGAGGTGACAGACCTGCACAGGAGAGGCTCCTGAGACAGACTGAAGAAGCTGAAGTTATACCTTGCCCTCTCACAAATCATCAGTGTTGTCAAAGCAGGGGCAGCACAGCAGTGCCAGGGCTGCAGACCTGCTCTGATGGGGCTCCAGGGGCTGCACACACAGTGCCACCTCTGCCCCCACACAGCCCTGATTTGAACTGCACACATCTGTACAAATGGCAAGGCCATTGCCTTGCTTTAGTTGTGGCTGCCACAGTTGAGCTCTCTCCAGCAGGGACATCACCTTTGCAGGCTGCACACAAGTCACGGCCCCATGCACTGGGGGAATAATGACAGGCACGTATCGATTCCAGCAGCACGCTGCTCCTCCTGACTGCAGTCAGCCTTTAAAGGAAGAGCTGATATTTGAGCATCTTGACCCCTGAGCACTTGAGGATCAATTCCTAAATACACCATCATCCCTACAAAGTGATTGCAGCCGGGTGGCCATCAAGATATTGCATGATACAGCTGTAYCTGGATGAAGACAATGGTATGCTGACTTTATAAAAGGTTTTTAGTATAAAAGTGCCTCCCCTATTCCTAAGCAGTTTTGTTTGCCTTCCAGAGAAGTTAGAGGAAAAATGCTATGAGACAAGGTCTCTTCTCAAGACACTCAAGATGGGAATGCAGGAGATGACAAGTGCTCTTGGTTCGCAGTTTAGGTGTAGCAAGGATCCTTCATGAAGAAACTGGGACCCTGACTGCAGGCCAAGGGTGTAGATAAGAAAGTGTTGCATCTGCGTGGGACATGTCAGAGCCAGATCAGCACTGGCTCAGTCAGGGCTGTCTGGGGACACAAATTCAATCCACAAGAGCAGAGAGCCACCCTGCCTGCTGACACCTTCACTGGCACCTGGCATCCCTGCACAACATCAGCTCCCTGGTCTACGCAAATAAACGAGGCTTCACTGCACACACTGCAACAAGCTGGCACTCAGTAACTTGCTGGATTCTTGAGTCACCAAACMTGGTCTCCAACAGGTGCTACTCTGGGAATTCCAGTTTGTTTGCCTGCAAAACTCCTATCTTTCTCAGACCTGTCTCACCCAGACTCTGTRCACAGAGTCAGATAAAGGGTTCATTGATGCCAATATCAGTGCTGCAAATGCAGCGGGACACAGCTGGAGATATATTATATATACACCTAGGTATCATCTAGGGGTGCTTCCCAGCTGCTCTTCAGCCARAGACTTTGTTTGTACACAGGGACCCTTGTTACTCCTTTTTGTCAGTGAGGTTTCCTTCTGCTCTACAAAGTCTGATCCCTGGTAGCTAAGAGACATGAGTTATGGAAGCTGTAATGGTTTTACTGGCTGCATGGTTAAAAAAACAAATCGCAGAGAAAGGCTGCTCACAGCCAGTTCCCAAAAGGTAGAGGGATGATATGCTGGGAAGAGGAAAAGCTCTATGGAATTGGCAGGAATGGCAACCACAACCGTTAACCGAGACCATTTGTTCAGCTGCTAAAAGAATTTGAAACTGTAAGGCTTTACCAGTCTTCATCCTGCTCCCTGGCTTGCAGCTGGTGGCCAGGGACAGAGATTTGCCCTTTGACCAGCTGAGGAGAGCAGGGTGTTTCTTTCAGACAGGGGTCTGGGCTGCAGTGACCAGTACAACCACCACGATGTACGCTGTGGTGCAGGGACAAGCTCATCAGCACTTGAAAGGAGGTCACTGGCAGTGACAAAAAATAATTTTCTTCCTTTTTACAGACATACTGCAAATATTTTTTTTTATTTTTTATAATATCTATTTATTTATTATTATTAATTATACACTAGGAAAAGGGAGATGCTTAGATAACTTGCTATCTCTGAAAAATCCAGATGTAGCTGAATCATGGATTTTAGCATATACCATTTACCATTATCTGCAAATTCCATTGTTGGCTACTTCACATGCACCAGACTATTAACCCTGAATATACCACACCTTAATATCTATTTCCCTGCAAGATTTTAGCAAGTGTCAGTTTTATGAGCATTGTTATTCCTGTAGAAAAGGACAAATGTTTTCCACAGCTACATTTCAGCTCATAAAGGTGGGTGGAAAGAGGGATTTTTTTCAGGTTGTAGTGATCATTTCAAACATACCAACTCATATTGAATAACACAGAGAAATGCCAGTCCTTTGGAGTGCGAAGGGAGGACAACCTTGTAACCAGGGCTAACACTTTTGTTTAAAAGAAAAAGAAAGTGAACTAAAAATAAACAAAAATAAGGACAAGAAAATGAAAGTAATATAAAAATCAACTAAGTGAATTATATAAACAAAAGTAGAGTTAAAGAATTTAAAATAATAATATTAATWTGTACAATAATTTATGTTATATGAAATATATATTTCTATATTTATAACTAATTACGTAAAGATTAGTGCTACAAACATTAAATGGAATATCAGAGAAAAGGCAAAGTAGGAGACGAAAGTTGGGAGAAGAGAACCAGAACCAGGGCTGTTCGGKGCAGTACTCTGCAATTCCTCCTCAGGAAATTCCTGCCCATAAGACAGGCTTTCCCACCTCTTGCCTGAGCTTCAAATCCCCTTAAAAGGGATGGCACCATTCTGGAAAGCCAAGACAAGCTCTTGCTAAGCAGTGCCTGTTTGGTGTGCTGTAATTGCACAGAGACACACACAGACACAATTCATGGCATCTTTTAAAAATGCACAGTAACCTCTGAAAAATCGTGAGCCACCATAAAGAACATTTGCACAGCTGAACATAAATCCTTCAGCTCCTCTGCTTTTGGGAATCACAATAAAGACCAAGACTCTGCAGCAGAAGTCTTGGCAACTTATCAAAACATCTTTATTTATAAAGCACATAAAATATCAAACTTACAGGTATTCTAGATGGAAGAGACCAGCAAAGGCATCATCTCGTATAACAGTGAAGGAGTTGGAGTTCAGCAAGCTGAAAATGGAGAGCAGGCATTAGGAAAGCACATTAAAGCTTGACACACTGGATTATATGCCTGGTGTGTTTATTGCCCATGACCAAACTAATCTTACTGACTCGAGCCCATATTGGCCCTCCAATGTAGCACACATAAAATACTGAGGAATGGTCTATTAAAAAAAATATCAAAAGCATTACATGACAGTAGTTAATGTCCACTACTCCCCAGGAAAAATGCTTGCTGTGCCATTGACCTTGGCTAAATGTAACCTGGTCCTCAACTCTGTGGTCCGCTGAGCAGGACAAGCCATCATTAGATGGCAGGTCTGCTGAGTATGGGCCTCATTTCCTCACCAACCTGGGCTTCCAAGAGCCCACCTGAGCACCAATCCCAAGCACCAGCTCTCATTTGTGCAGTTGCAATGGGCCAGTGCTCACTCATTGCACACTCCCAGGGGAATGCTCCAAGCCTGACCTGCAGATGGGGCACAGCCTGCAGTGTGGGAGGACAGCTGCCAGTTTGTCAGCTGGAAACACAGACATATCCAAAGCCCTGAGACAGAGAATYCTGCTGTCTTTATAAAGCAAAACCCTGCATCCACAGGCGATGAAGAGAGGCAGTGCTGCCTCCTCCAGGCATTGCCTTGCCCTCCTCCCGTGTGAACTTCAGGGACAAAACGTGTTAGAGCTGCACCAGAGAGGCTGTCACCTGAGCCAGGACAAGGCAGCCAGGGAGAAGGATGCCWTGGAAGCTTTGCCAGCAAAGTTTATTCTTTGTGGTATCAAAGCACAACAGCGAATTATCTCCAATGCTGATGTTCAAAGRCAAAGAGGGCGATCTCCTTTCCAGAAAATAGCAAAACTTCTTGTTTGGTCTGAAAAATTAACACTATTCAAAAGATATAATTTGTGGGGAATCTCAGAATTTTTCCCTATGAATGAATATGTCTGCACTAATTGCTTTATTAGAGCAATTGATTAATGTTCCTTTTGTATGGTTTTAGGCATTTTACTAAAATTCATTTAGAAGAATAATGAACATGAAATGCAAACTTTCCCTGTGATCCCTGGATATTATGCTAATACTAGACAAATGTTCCTTAAATTATCCCGAAGAAATCTGACAAAGACACAGACCACCGTCAAAAATAAATCCTTGCATCACTATTTTACTATGATTACTGCCACAGAAGACATTGTCCTGAGGTGCCCATGTGCTTGATTATGCATGCAGCTCTTTATCATTTAATCTTTTTTTTTTCTCATGTTTTAAGGAGAAAGTCACAAATTACACAAACTGACAGAATTTGTCAGTGCCCAAGGTAGTGGGGTGACAAACCCCTCTCGCTCCCACATCTGACTTACCACATAAAGTGACATGAGCAACTTCTGTCTTCCCCAACAACCCACCTCTGCCCCACACCCCCCAATTTCTCCAGGAAATTGGCTACAGCTGAGGAAAAGGGACAATCTCCATCTGCTCTTCCTCTTCCTAGTATCACCATCCAAAACAAGCCAGATTCTCTCCATCTCTAATTTTCCACCCGCAGTTTCTCACCCTTGGATTCCTCCCTTTCCTTCTAAGCTGGCCCAAGTCTGCTGTTCGCTGCCATTTATTGGTGGGCAAGGTCCTCATGTCTTCTGCTCAGGGCTCTGTGCTGACCCCCAACTCTCACAACAACTTGGGTTTTGGGCCASTTTCACATCAAAGGAGGTGAAAGCTTCCACCCCTTGCTTTGCCCACTTCTCCCCAACATTTTGCATGGAGTGCTGCTCCTCGCCGTAGGGAGACAGTCCTTTGAGTTAAACAAAGGAGATGGGGTGATCAAACAGAGGAGCCTGGCCATCCCTGAAGCCTTTAGACACTGCTTCTTGCTAAGACCAATTTTAACATCTAGCTCTGTGGCAAGCACTCAGCCTGGGTTTCAGGCAGGCTTTGAATCTTTTTGCTGAATTTTTCCTTGCGGTGTATCTTTGCCTGGGAGGGTAAAGCAGTCCTTACGGGGGGAGGTGTGGAGGGCCTGCGKGCGGGCAGGCTGCGCTGGGCTGGACAGGACACAGGCTGCTGCTCAGCTTCGCCGCAGAGTACCGGAGAAATGAGTATCCCGGCTCCCCAGGGGGGCTGTACTGCAGTCTGTGTCTGTATCTTCCCTGCTGCCTCCCAGGACAGCTAAATTAAGCAAGTTTGGGTAAGCTCCTGGAGCAGGAGGCACGCACTTAACTGCAACACGGGCACGACCAGGCAGCTTACCTGGGGTCAGGATACAGGGATGGCTGCAAAGCGCTGGGAGCAAGACCACTGTCGCCTGGGACAGAGGACCCCTGGGTCAGATTGGTACYTAGGGGGCCACCCTCCAAGTCGCATGCTGAAGCACGGAGTCATGCTGCAGACAACCAGCACTTCACACACAGAGCATTTTCTCTGAAGTGTGTCCCGGCAGCCTCCGCTCACCCCTCTGTGCCCACAACGTCACAAAGCCAGTGCCAGACTCCTGGGCACAAAGTGAGCAGCAGTGACAGCCACCCCACATGACTCCGGGGGAGAAAACTCAGACTGAAACTTAATAAAGCCGAAGTCAAAACCAGAGGAACTTAGGGCACCATAAAACATTTTGCCCTCCTATATAAAGAAATACATATTTAATGAAGTGGTTTCTGAGCAGAAAATGCATCACTCTTATGAAAAGGCGGCTACATTGGGGAACTGTGCAAGCTGGGGATTTACCCGTTTTCCCCCTTTCTRCAAGGGAAAGGGAACTCTCTTTAGGAGAAACGGGGAGGCTCTATGCTTAAAGGGACTCCATTTAGGAGGAAGGGGCCAAGTGCTACTTGGCCGTGCTCCTTCCCAGTGCCATACTTACAGCAGCTGCAGRGAGGGCAGGTGCGAAAACATCCTGTCCTTGACTTCGGAGAAGGTCCCGTTGACCAGGCTCCTGGAAAAAGAGATGCCCCCCATGAGGCGAGGCGGGCCGGGCCCGCACCCCTCGGCCACCCTSTCCCCGTCCCGCGGCCCCGCACTCACAGCGAGCCCAGGCCGGCGGGCAGGCTGCGCGGCGCCCCCGCCGCCCCCACACACAGCGCCGACTCCCGCCAGCAGCTGCAGGGCGGCCCACAGCGCGGCGGCCTCCGCGGGGCGGCGGGCGGCAGGGCCAGCAGGGCGGCGGCGGCGCAGAGAGCGGGCAGGAGCCGCAGCGGGACCGCCATCCCGGCACCGCCGCGTCCCGCCGGCCGCTCCCCGCCGCCCCCCGCGCCCTGACATCAGCGCGGCGCCGCCTCCGCTGCGGCGCCGGGACGCGGAGGGGGGGTCCCGGCGGGCGGGGCGAGGAGCCGAGCTGCGGGGCCACCTGGCCCTCCGCCTCCCGGAGAAATGGAAACAAACATCCCGCGGGAAGCGGAGGGCGTGGGTGGGCTCCGCTGGTAGCTCCAGGGAGATGCTATCCCGGAAAGTCGGGGGGAGCGTTGAGGTGCTGGAACGTGTCCAGASAGGGGCAACGRAGCAGGTGAAGGGCTRGGGGCACAAGTTCTGCGAGGAGCGGCTGAGGGAGCTGTGAGTGTTCAGCTCGGAGGAAAGGAGGCTCGGGGGGATTTATTGCTCCTTACAACTAACTAAAAGGAGATTGTGGTGAGGTGGGTGTAGTCTCTTCCCCCAGGTCATAAGTGATAGGACAAGACGAAACGGCCTCAAGTTGCACCAGAGGAGGTTTAGATGGGGTATTAGGCAAAGGTTCTTCACTGAAAGGGTTTTCAGGCATTGGAACAGGCTGCCTGGGGAAGTGGTGTAATCGCCAACCCTGGACGTATTCCAAAAATCACAGAATCATGCAATGGTCTGGGTTGGAAGACACCTTAAACATCTTCTACAACCCTCCTACAYGGTCAGTTTTCACTAAACTGGGTTTCCCAGAGGCCTATCCAACCTGACCTTTGACAGTTCCAGGGATGGGGCACCCACAACTTCTCTGGGCAAATCCAATGTGCGTAGGTGTGATGCTTAAGGACATGATTTAGTGGTCCCGGCAGTGCTGGGTTAGTGATTGGACTCGATGATCTTGGAAGTCKTGTCCAGCCATAATGGTTCTGTGGCTCTGATACCAACTYGAGATCGGTCTGGATCATGAAAGAAAGAAATGGATGATGACATCACACAATTCCAGTTGCTTTCCAGTAGCATGTGTGTGTTAAGTACTCATTAATTGAATCTTACTGTATTTGAATGCTTGAAAGGTTTYAGAACTGCATGTAAAACCACATTTGGGGTGCCCTGATTTGAATGGGACTCGTCACACGCATCAACAAAAAAATTACTCTTGTAACTGTGATGTTACAAGTTACTTGTCCTGTAACAGCTAAGAATTACTTTTGACAAGTCTTGTAACCTTGACTATGCTTTGTGCCCAAGCCTCTTTCCTCGGTTTGCACCGGCCGGTTGCAAGATTCTCGTGACCATTTCCACCGCTGCCCTTTGTGTCTGCTGCCCCTCTACTACCCACACAGCTCCAGCAGAGCCTCCAGTTAGGTGGCTGAAGCAGCAGTGAGATTCTTCTCTGTGATGAGCAGACCCAGGTCTCCATCCTCACCCCTACACAATCCCTATAGCAGACAAGAATTCAGAAAGCATGAGCAACACCTGAGCTAGTGGTTTAATTAATTTTTCATCTGATTAGGCAGMAAACAAGACAGAGAAATTGTTTGAGGTCAGTGTTAGTCCCAGTTTTCTTTGCCTTGTTTTATCTTTCCAGTGATTCTAATGATTTGTGTAATACATCTCCTTGCAGGAGCTGTTATGCACCACATCTGCATCTTAATTCTAAAGCCACAATAATCTAAGGATGTTTATTTCATTGRCAAGCAGACAGAAAATGTTGTGAACCGTTAAGGCTGCTGGATTTCGAGTCATTCTCTTCCAGCTGGGTCACTGGTGCTTTATTCTGAGGTCATTGAAAGCGACAGAAAGAATAGTTTTAAAAATTACAAGAACACTACCAGAAATCAAAAGGTTTTTATACTTTCTGTATTGTCTCTTTGCTTTCTGTACTGTCTGTCACAGTATCCTCCTGGAAAAAAAATATCCAGCACACAGCTGGACAAGCCCGTAACAGACTGGGTGAGCTTCTGACTGACAGGTTGGGCTCAAAGTGTTACTGTAAATGGGGTTACATCAGAATGTCAGCAGTCACCAGTGGGGTTCCACTGGGCTCCATTGTAGGGCCAGAGCTCTGTAATGTTTCTATACATTATCTGAACACAGGAATTGTATATTAAGTAAGTTTGCCGATGGTACTAAACTAGGAGGAGCTGTAGACTCCCTCCAGAGCAAAGAGGCCCTGCAGTRACATGTGGGTAAGAATGGAGGGCTRGGCAGTCACCAGCCACGTGAAATTTAACAAGAGCAAGTGACAGATTCTCCACCTGGGACAGGCGATCCTGATTATACACACAAATTACGGGATGAGAGCCTGGAGAACAGCCCTGTGGAAGAGATCTGTGGATCCYGGTCCGTGGAAAGTTGAATCTGAGTCAGCAGTGCCCTGGCAGCCAGGACAGCCACCCATGGSCTTGGGGGCATCAGGCACAGCATCGTCAGCCAGGCAGGGGAGGGGATTGTCCTGCTCTGCTCTGGGTTGGGGCAGCCTCATCTCGARTGCTGGGRCAGTTCTGGGCACCACAATATTAGAAAGGATATAAAGCTGTGAGATTGTGTCCAGAGGAGGGAACCAGGGTGGTGAAAGGTCTTCAGGACAAGACTCCTTGAGGAGTGGCTGTGGTGTGTTTGGCTTGGAGAAGAGAAGGCTGAGGGGTGACCCCAGTGTGTCCTACAACTTCCTCMAGCTGTCAGCAAAGGGGCAGGTGCTGACCTCTCTCTGATGATCAGTGACAGGCATGAGGAAGTGGAATGAAGGGAATTCAGGTTGGGCATTAGGAACAGGATCTTAACTGAGAGGGTGGTCAGTCACTTCTCCCCAGGGAAGCTGTCATGGCTCCAAGCCTGAAAGAGCTCAAGGAACATTGGTCTGGATGTCACTTAGTCATACCATTTTGTTTTAGGTAGTCCTATGAGAAACAGGTGATCCTTAGGGGTTCTTTGGTGATCCTTAGGGGTTCTTTCCAACTTGAGTTATTTTATGATTCTATGAAACAGAAAAGACACAACAGCAACTTCCCAAAACAGCAACAAAGTCATGATGTTCCCATGAACCAGACATTTCTCCATGAAGTCTGACTGCTGTGGCGATCCAGGGATGCCACTTTGGGAACCCTTTGATGCATTCACCCATTCCAAGTGGCTCTCAGCATGCTGTTGGGAAAGAGCTTCAGGGTTCAGTATTGCTACAAGGTTTTAAATACCTACAAATGCCCTATTTGTGTGTAAAGCACCTTCTCTAAAAGATACAAAGCTAGGACCCCAATTCCACAACTCAATTCTTCAACTTTCACTCATGCTAAGCTCTTCCCTCAGGCATCCAAAAATCCCAGGACAATTCAAGATGGAAAACCATTTACCTGATAACACTGTCCACAATTAATTTTGCAGACAAGGTGTCTTCTGATTTAGCTGATTTAAATGCAATTTATTTGGCAATCCCCTCTAMCTCCCCATGGAAAAGGAAGTAGGATTTTCTCCTGCTGTCCCCATCTGGGGTGTTCTGTGTGGTTTCACCTGCAGCTTCCCTGCTGCACTCAGTGAAGGGCTGCCAGGCACAGACCACCCTTGCTGGAGGTTTGAAAGTGTTAAGGGGACTTTCTTATGAGTCAGGGGAGGCTGAGGTGGAATGAGAGGCAGGTGCAGCAGGCCCAGGGTACCACACAGGAAGGCACCAGTGCAAAGAGTGCGGAGAGAGCCTGGATCATCAGCAGCACACAGCACACAGTCCTGTCCTGCTGAAATTAAAAATGAGTGATTATTTTGGAACATTCACACGACAGAAAACAGGCATCTGAGGGGTTAAAAATACAAATATGCATATAGATAAGCACATACAATTTTCCCAAAAAGATCATTTAGAAATTGCTTGGTTTAAAAAGTGATGCTTATTTTATCCATGCGGTAGTATAAAGTGCAGTGATATAAAACCCAAGTTTTCTCTCATTTTTGAGAAGAAAATAGAAAATTGAATTTGATGTTGAAACAGAATATCAGAGARTGAGAAATAATACTGAAATGTGCATTTTTCTGCTTTCCTTCAAATTCCAGTTCATAGGCTCAGGTGATTTTTTATGTAGAGTTGCAGGTGCATCCATTTAAGTCATGCCAAAAATAAATGCGGTCAGCTGCGTATGAAGGATTGTGCTATTYGATACCCATAGATAAAATGGCATTTCAGGTGGGTAATACAAGCAAAGAAGCACTCAGACAGCATGTCAGCAGGATGATGTAAAAGCCTGCACAGAGRGGAGGTGCAAAGGCTGTGCCATGCCTTTAAACAGCCCAAGAGTGCAGGGGAACCTGAGGATCCCCTGGTACTCAGAGTATACCCCATGCAGACCTGCAAAATGGTGYATGAGATCTTCTGAGTGCATGTTAAATGGAAAATATTTTGATTCCTGGGCAAGTATGGATGAGACATTTCAACATTTTGACGTATGACAGGATCACTGCCATTTCTTCTAACACAACAGCTCTTTCTCTTTCAAAATTTTGGATATTTATCTTGAATTGCAAGRAGAAAAGAAATCAGAAGAACGTTTAGAAGCAATAGATATTAAAATAAATATCTTGATGTGAAAGTTGGCAGCTTTGTTTCTTCAAGATCAGGAAGACATTTCTCACACATTATCATTTTTGCTCCCCTTTTTCATAAATCCCTGCTTTATTGAGTAAGTATTAACATAAAAGCTTTGACAGTATTTTTTCCTCTAACTTGACAGCAGTGGACAGTAGCAGAGAGAAAGCTGCTGGTCAGCTCATCCCATACAAAATGAGAAACATGGAAGGAAAGAACACTTCAAGCTTTTGTCTGAGAAAATTTAAGTTATAGGCTAGTTTGCAAATAAAAATGAGTTTTGTTGGATCACAACCCACCACCCTTCCAAAGTAAGAAATTTGAAAAAAAWTGCAGGTGAGAGTAAAGTATGTCASTGGAAGTGTTCCCACTATGAAGATTCTTAATTGCTTGTGATCCTGCTGTGGATGAAGGTATAGGGAAATTAATGCTGTGAGCAATATTCATCTTGCTGAGTGTTTTCCTTTCTTTCTTCACTCATGG